TTGTAGTTATATCCTTGTTTGAGCTGAGGGCCTCTCAATCGTTTCGATTCGTTCGTAACGCTCTGCGCTGGTGAAATGTTTGAAACCAGTTGTAATGCTGATTGGCCCAGCCAGTGCGAAGGAAGGTACGGGGATGGTTAGCTGCACCCATGCATGGTGTTTTTTGTGTACGTTTCCTCTTTGCCAATGACATCTAGTGTCATGTGTCACCTACGTGTAAACCGGTGTCATATGCGGACGATATGCCGCTCATGTATGAATCATCACCATCTGCCTGTGGTCTCGCACAACTGCGTTCGTGTGTTGAGTCCGATCTGACTGCAGTCTAAGTATGGTTTCGTCACAATGGCATGAAGATCAACCTATCAAAAAATGAATTCAATGTTTTTCACCCACCCACCAACACCCGCAAAGCCGCCGGTCTGAGGGTGAATTTTGATAACTCCGAGCTATCTCCTTCAGAGTACATCAAAATACTTGGGGTGCTCATCGATAAAAATCTGAACTGGCAGTATCAAACGGCCAAAACTACTCAGCGCTATTTTGGCTCCCTCATAGCTATTGACAAGCTTAGAAATGTGCTTCCCAGCTTTACAATAAAGTTCCTAGTTGAGTCACTGGTCTTCCCTCACATGAGATATTGTTTACCTGCATGGGCCCGACAACAGTCGTTCAGCGCCAGCACCTAGATAAGGCTATTAACTTTGCGGTCAGAATTGTTGCCGGCAAACGCAGACGAGATCACATCACGGAATCCAGAAAACAGCTAAATTGGCCCAATTTCGACGAGAATGTCGCCCAACGCGACTGCATATGTTTGCATCGCGCCATTTACGTGCCTGATGGGCCACAAGCTGTCAGCAACCTGATCAGGCGCCGACCTGAAGTATCTCAGCGGCACATCAGAGCCACGGATGACGGAACTGTGCTGCAGAAGAGCGCTAAAAAAACACCCTTGGTTAGAGTGCGTGAAAAGCGTATTTCCCTATCGAGCCGTGGCGGCGTGGAATCGCCTCCCTGCTGCCACGCGCCTGTGCAAAAACTTAAATGAGTTCAAGGGCAAAACAATGTCTTTCACCAGAGAACTTACCTAAATTGACCAACTGGCCATGACGTGCAGGTGCTGATTGTATCACAAGTCGCTCATGTTTTGTAACATCGTACGTGTATGGCTGGCGCTGTGTCTCATTTGCTTGTGTTGCGGATTCTGTGTTTATCTATGTAGTATGTACTGCCGCGGCGTTAGAATACGCGCTGGCTGGATTTCGCCAAGGTTCGCAATAATTGTAATATTAATAATAGTGTGTTGCACCAGTGTTTTGTGGACAGCACGAGTTTGCCATGTGTAAGTCGATGCGAGCGGATCGGTGTGGTTGCCGACTGGTGGCGGGGAGCTGGCCCTGTTGGTCATTTATAGAGCTAGCTTAAGCGTTTTCCGGACATTGGAGTTGGCCGGCTTTACGGCCGGTGCCGGCGCCCCGCCCGGTTCGGCTTTTGGTCCGTCCATCCAAGCACTCCTTGTGTGAAACGCCAGGCCTCAAATAGTGGGTCAGGTAGGGCCTTGGAGTCGTGAAGCAGTCGTCGGGTATGAGGAAACTGTCGTTGGCGATGGAGGCTTTGCTGTGACCAAATTATTATTTTGCGTGGGGAGTCACCGGCAACGGAGTCCGCACTCGTATAGGCGTTATAACCGCCGCTTAGGTCAAGGCATTGTCCCTGTGTGATAACTTGGAAGTATCAGTACGCGACCTGCACTACAGGAAGATATCGTTGGTAGCCGCGTCACCGAAAGGTGCCGGGCGTTCACTTATTTTCGTTAATGCTCAACGCAAATAGCGATGTATCCTTTAGCTTCACGGAATATTGGTGATCATTTGCCAGTGGCTATCAAATCGTGCAAGCTGTTGACTTCGCCAGCGGTGTTGGCGGTATTGTGCACACCGGGCCAATGTGTGTCCTGTGGCCGACGGCCGGCGTCGTAGTGCGTCTGGGGGGCGGTCAAGCTCTCACCACACCAGCCGCTTCCAGTGGCGGAGGACGGTATTCTGGAGGCGGTGAACGCCCACCTGCCGGCGCAGATCCGCGTCTTCGACATGAAGCGGGTCACCAAGCGGTTCGACGCCAAGCTGCAATGCTGCGCGCGCACTTACCACTACGTCAGCCCCAGCTTCGCCTTCAGCCCGTCCCCTGAGCTCATCTCCGAGCAGTACAGGTGAGGTGACTGACGGGGCGGCCGGCGGAGGACGGCGGCGTGCTCAGCCGGCCGCACTTGGTGGCCTGGAGCTAATGGAAACCTGTGCATCCGTAGCAGTGACGGGTCGTGTGCGTGTAATCAGTGTGGGGCTATTCATCGACGCAGTGGCTGTGGGAGTCGCCAACGGGAATACAAATAGGGAGCCGTGGCTGGTTTCCGCAGATGAACTTGATCCGAGATCTGGTGCCCTGATCCCAGCAAGGACACTCAACCGGCCACTGACGCCACCTTTTGGTGATGTCGAGCAACAAGTTTCGTTCGATGGTTTATTGACGTGTGAAACAGCGAGACCTTTAGCGTTGTAGTCTACCGCTGGTGGAGTAATGCTGCAGGATCCCAGCGCGGGGTTCAAACGCTTAATCGCGCATGGCTCCGATGCCTGACAGCGGAGTAGGGCACGTTGAGCGTGTGCGAGATTGTATGACGGGTCATTATTTGCAACACCGATCCGTCACCTAATCGGTCGTCATTATCGATCATCTCTTTTGCCAGGATGCCTGATGAAGTGCTGAGCAACGTGAATCGGCTGTTCGAGAAGTACACAGGCACCCACAACTACCATAATTTCACTTCAAGAAGGTGAGCATATGTGGTTGCGACGGAGCTGAGTAACGTGAGACGTTTAATACTGAGGTAGAACAGACGCACGCGGTCAAATAATGAAAACGTTAATGCGTTTCTAACGCCCTGAAGCGTAAGCGCTTTGCGAATGTGGCAAGATTTTGACCGTGCGTTACGGTGCTGGCATGTTGAGTATGTAGGCAGTGACCAGCCGGTAACTGGACGATGTTTGACGTAGAAAACCGAACGACCCGAGCAACAAACGCTACGTCATGGAGATGGGCTGCAGCCAGCCGTTCGTAAGGCGCGGCGTTGAGTTCGTCGTCATCACCGTGAAGGGTAAGTGCCCCGCTCCGGCAGGGATTGTCCTGACGAGCCGCGCACCGGTTTGCCACTGCCGCTGTCGATGGGTCACGATCTTGTGGTACTGATGCTAGCTGAAGACACACCTGGAATTCGTTCAAGATAACCGTAACACACGATTCCCGGCTATATTTCGACGATTTGTAATTATTTCACAACAGCTATTACTTTGTGACAAACAGAGAGATATCGGGAAGGGCATATAGGGGGAAGGGCATGCCCCTTCTTCCTGGGCCGAGAGGTTTTCACTTGATACTCATGGGCGAGAGGTTTACACTTGATACTTTGCAAAGATTCGGTCCAAATTCGCAGGATTCGGGAGAAAATAGCATTTAGCCCCCATCTCTTAACAAGGCTGGTTTCGTGCCTCGTGGCAAAGCTTGCAGGTGAGACGTTTCATATCCAACTGCGGATGAACTATGTCCCTAAAACAACTGTACAAATTGCAGGCCAATGTCTGCGTTAAATGCACTTGACGAATGCAGCCATTGTGCCATGCTCAGACCCAATTGAGAGGAGGCGAACAGCGAGCATTACCATTAGTGAGCCGTCTGTGCCGTTGGTGTGCCGCTGTGGACGTGTCCGGAGCTATCTGTGTTTTTGGTGTGCTGCTGTGGACTTGACCGGAGCCGTCTGTCGTCTGGCAGGCCATAGCTGTGGCCTGAGCTTTCTGTGTCGTCTGGCAGGTCAGAGCTGTGGCCTGAGCTTTCTGTGTCGTCTGGCAGGTCAGAGCTGTGGCCTGAGCTTTCTGTGTCGTCTGGCAGGTCAGAGCTTCATGCTGCACCAAATCCGCAAGATGGTGGGCGTGGTGATGGCCGTGGCGCAGGGGCACGCCGAGGAGGGCGTGTTCGAGCGCGCCTGGAGCCTGGATCGCATCGACCTGCCCGTGGCCCCCGCCCTCGGGCTGCTCTTGCACGAGGTGAGGCGGACGTGGCGCTCCAACCGGGGCTTGCCACTGCACCGGTGTATGTATGGCGCGCGCGGTGACAGTTGTCTGCTGTTGTGCTCGATGTGGACCTGTTGTGCTTGATATGGAACTGATGTGCTTGATGTGGGGCTGCTGCTGTGCTTGATGTGGGGTTGCTGTCGTGCTTGATGTGGGCTTGTGGTTGATATGGGGCTGCTGTTGTGCTTGATGTGGAGCTGCTGTTGTGCTGGATGTGGGGCTGCTGTTGTACTTGATGTGAGGCTGGTACTGTTCTTGATGTGGAACTGCTGTTGTGTTTGATGTTTTGCTGCTGCTGTGGGGTTGCTGTTGTGCTTGATGTGGCGCTACTTTTGTGCTGGATGTGGGACTGCTGTTGTGCTTTTATTGCTTCACACAGCGAACAGATGCCAACGCATTATGATAATGCCAGTGCCGTTAAGCTGAGCGCGGTGTTCATTAACGTGATGCTATGCTGTAGCCCAGATGGGGCCTGTGTCGGCGGCTGAGGACGCGTTGCCACACGCGAGGCTCCGGGGAGGGCGCTCGGTCGGCATGGCCAGCTCACGGGCTGCCCTCTTCCGACCAGGTGCACTACGACCGGTACAACCAGCGCTTCGGCAGCGGTGGCTCCAACACGCACGACAACATCGAGTGGTCGGCCGTGGAGGACAAGGTGCGCCGCTTCACCGATGACTTCATCTACGCCGACATCGTGCGCACCGAGCTGGAGGAGAAGCCGTATCCTTTGGCTGGGGAGTGATCCGGCGGACCGGCGCCGCGAGCGGTCCGGTGACGCGATTATGAGCCATGCCTCCTAGTCTTGGGACGGGTGGTCTGGCTGGAAGTAGGGTCGGTATGAAGTGGGATCAGATGAATTTCATACGGTTTTATTATGCTACTGTGCATGTCTCTGATCAAAGCATGTAGTATTTTGTTTTCAGTGAAATGCACCATTTGGTTTGCCTGTAGGATTGTTTTTTCTGATAGCGCTGGACCTCATTGTCCTCTGTGAGAGCCTCAGGTCTGGTGTCTGCACGTGCCTGTGCGTCGTCACACCTCGTTCCCCTGTGGTGACCCCTGCCTGTGTGTCGGCATCGCTCGTGTGTCGCCACACCTCGCTCCCCGGCGGTGACCCCTGTCCGCGTGTCGGCATCGCTCGTGTGTCGCCACACCTCGCTCCCCGGCGGTGACCCCTGTCCGCGTGTCGGCATCGCTCGTGTGTCGTCGCACCTCGCTCCCCGGCGGTGACCCCTGTCCGCGTGTCGGCATCGCTCGTGTGTCGTCACACCTCGCTCCCCGGCGGTGACCCCTGTCCGCGTGTCGGCATCGCTCGTGTGTCGTCACACCTCGCTCCCCGGCGGTGACCCCTGTCCGCGTGTCGGCATCGCTCGTGTGTCGTCACACCTCGCTCCCCGGCGGTGACCCCTGTCCGCGTGTCGGCATCGCTCGTGTGTCGTCACACCTCGCTCCCCGTGGTGACCCCTGTCCGCGTGTCGGCATCGCTCGTGTGTCGTCACACCTCGCTCCCCGGCGGTGACCTTGACCGAAGTGATCAGCATGCTGAGCTGGCTGAGGACGTTGCCGCTGCACACCTTCGACATCCGCGAGGGTGACCTGAGCCCGCCACCTGGCCCGGCTGCCGCCGCCGACCGCTCCGGCTCACAGGGCGGCAGCGGCCAGCTCGCTGCCGGCCAGCAGACAGCGGAGGGGGGCCACTCGGGGCCGCCTGTGGTCGGCCAGGCCGCGGGAACTGGTGCAGAGCTCGCCGAGGCGCAGACGGCTGTGAACTGCGGCGCGGAGCCGGCTGTTAACGCCCAGCTGCCGTCGTTAGGTGGCGGCGGGACGACCACGACCAGTTGACGAGTGGAAACGTGTAATGCTTTGAGGGCGGTTGTGGTGGGGTTTGCGAGTTTTGAACAGGTTGGTGAAAAGTGGAGAAGGATCCGTGGTTTCGCGGGTGAAGATGTCGTCGCAGGGATACTCTGCAGCGTGTTGCGTTGGATTGGGGGGGGGGGGGGGGAGGCGGAGGAGGTTAAAAGACGTTTTTGTCTTGTTCTACATGAATCATGCAAAAATGTGGCAACTGACACCCTTGAAGGAGCGATGTTACATTGTTTTATAGTTGGATAATGCGATATGCCTGTGGAGTGCTAAACGATACATTATTTCATATTCGGGCCATGGCCTTGTGTTGCAAAGTGTACAGTGCTACGCTATCAAATGTTCGGGGAATACAGCATGTCACAAGCTGCGATGATGAGAGTTGCCAACATCCACCAAAACACTGAACCGCTCCGAATGGCAGTGCACGTGGACAGGCAGCAGGCGGCCCAGCCGACACCGCTGGGCCTGGCGGCAGCCCGAGAAAGCACCGATCAGGTCAAACGAGAGGCGACGGGCGGCTACATCACCTCTGGTGAGTGCGGCTGCGCCATGTGGTCAACATCGTCGCCTTGTGAATATTAGGTCGCTGAAAGTTCCATGAAAGCAGAACGTGGATCTTTGCATGATTTCGTTCCATGGTTCATGGCAAAACAGACGAGAGAAAGCGTTAATTTCACTCGCTTGGGCTTCCCAGCGAGGGTTAGGGACTTGTAGACGGGATGGGAGATCAGTGATCATTCAACAGGGGCAACAGATCATTCAACAGATCATTCAACACGGTATCCCTCGGGCGCACGTGTCACTCGTCTGTAGGAAATTAATGGGACGTATTATTTTGTACGTGACGAAATGTTCACAGTCATGTATACGTGTAATGCGTGAAAGGCACTAAATCTGCAGACGTGGCCAGACGTTAGCCGGCTGTTTTGGCGTGCGTATTGATGCAGCGTCCACGCATGATATCATGTGTCTCATGTATATTGAAGGAGCGCGACGCATGCCATCGTGGGCCCCATCGTGCAGCGCTAGATCGTTGACTTGTTGGGTGTGTATTTGCAGCATTTGTGATGAAATTGGCGTGGGGTGACCTTTGTCTCAACCTTCGCCTTCCTACGCGATGTTCGTTTTTCTTTTCATCCCACCATAATGGTCACGGCCGTTCACATTAGTATTGCGAACACGGCGCTGGAGCTTGTCGGATTGGTTCTACAAACCATGGCAGCCGTACATTTCTTATTGAAGTGTTTTTGAGACCTTATGGATGATGACCTGCTTTTATCGGGGGATGAACTACATGTTTGTAAAGTACTTTTAAGGAGTTTATTCACTCTTAAATGTAAGTTCTCCGGAGCGAACTACCTCGCACATCAAAACACGCGAACCCCACAAATATTCATAACAAAGACCAGACGAACACACCGAGCTGAGGCTGACAGGCTGACCGGTGATGCCTTCAGTTTGTGACGTTTCGTCATCTCCAGCGCTGTGATATTCAAAAACGTGCAGCTCTCGATCCGGTTTGGACGGTGCCTGCCACAAGAAGTCAGCGCAGTTGCCGTCCGTCGTCCACCGGGTTTGCATCGCCGTGTGGTCGGCAACTGGTGGCGCAGCCGGCAGTCGGCAGCTAGCAGCGCTGCCGGCAGTCGGCAGCTAGCAGCGCTGCCGGCAGTCGGCAGCTAGCAGCGCTGCCGGCAGTCGGCAGCTAGCAGCGCTGCCGGCAGTCGGCAGCTAGCAGCGCTGCCGGCAGTCGGCAGCTAGCAGCGCTGCCGGCAGTTGACAGCTAGCAGCGCTGCCGGCAGTCGGCAGCTAGCAGCGCTGCCGGCAGTCGGCAGCTAGCAGCGCTGCCGGCAGTCGGCAGCTAGCAGCGCTGCCGGCAGTTGACAGCTAGCAGCGCTGCCGGCAGTCGGCAGCTAGCAGCGCTGCCGGCAGTTGACAGCTAGCAGCGCTGCCGGCAGTCGGCAGCTAGCAGCGCTGCCGGCAGTCGGCAGATAGCAGCGCTGCCGGCAGTTGACAGCTAGCAGCGCTGCCGGCAGTTGACAGCTAGCAGCGCTGCCGGCAGTTGACAGCTAGCAGCTCGGCTTGCGGTTGGCAGCTAGCAGCGCTGTCGGCAGTCGGCAGCTAGCAGCGCGGCATGCGGTCGGCAGCTAGCAGCGCGGCCTGCGGTCGGCAGCTAACAACGCTGCCGGCAGTCGGCAGCTAGCAGCGCGGCATGCGGTCGGCAGCTAGCAGCGCGGCCTGCGGTCGGCAGCTAACAGCGCTGCCGGCAGTCGGCAGCTAGCAGCGTGGCCGGCTGGTGTCGGACGTCTCGGCGGCGCAGATGCGCGTGCGGCGGCAATCGGGCCCGCACGGGCCGGCGTCCGCCTGCGCCGCCGCACTGTGATAGAAGTAGTCCATGTACTGATCGAACTTGGCGGTATCCGTCTTCATGCGCTGCACCAGCTGGTCGTAGTTCTGCGGCGTAGGCGGCGCCTCCAGCAGGTCGGCTCGTGCCGAGTAGAGCAAGTGGAAACTTGTGTCGTTCGCGCTGTTTGCTTGCGTCAGATTCATGATGTACGTGTCATAGTCAAGAGCCATCTGTCGGTACAAAGAAGAGTTGGTGTGTTATCGTGTGACAGGGACGGGGTGAGTAACATTGGATGTCTGAACCAAATAACGGACTCGGTCAATAAAGCACAAGATGCCTTATTTGCAATGAGGCCGAAAATGCTTGATCTGTTAATAATTTTTTACCGGGGTAATGGCCGAGTGGTTAGCGCATTCGGGTCCTACGTGGGGGGGGGGGGGGGGGGGGGGTCGAATCTCGGTTGCACCACGGCCCGCGAGCGCTAATGTGGCGACTATCACTATCATATAACGCAATAAAACAAGCTTATTCGCAGCCGTTGCCCTCACCTCCAATGACAGCTTGCGTCGCTCGCTGCCAGTGCCTCTGAACTACGCTGGCCTGATAGTGCCAGCACACGTACCCAGGTGATGTTTGTGTCGACGGTGTAGATGCGGTATGCCGGGTTGAGGAAGCTGTAGGTGGTGGCGGCCGGCGCGATGTAAGCCATGCCCACCGCGCGGGCGGCATCCTCCAAGTCGTAGAACACCTCAAACTCGTCCTTGTGCGTGTGACCGTAGAACTGTGCGGCTATTGTGTCCTCGTACCTGTCGGCGCCCGAGGAGTCGTCGTCACGGGCGCTGGCCACTGGACGGGCGCCGGTCAGGAGCGGCCAGCATGACGCATGTCTGGCAGTAATACCCGTCCAGGGTCAATTGACACGTGCAAATAGAATGGGGTCACTCGGTCCACGACTGAACGTTGGCAAATTTGCGAGGTATATAGGCATAAATGTCCTAACTTGTCACCTTGCATCTAGCGGCATGGAATATGTGGCATGGAATATGTGGAAGCAGCCACATCAGTTTCCATTGAGCGTGTTGTAACATTCTACGATTCAAGAATGTCTGTTCTAGAAGCTTTGACCATTGAGCTTTGCGAAGCACTTTCAGCGCTTTCATCATCTGACACGAAAAGGAGTATGGTGGGGGTGTCTGCGGGGTTGTCGGTAATAGCGTCGTCGGTAATAACGCAGTCGGTAATAGCGTCGTCAATGGCCACAGCGGGCTGGCTGGTGAGGACTTCAAAAAGGCTTCACAAAACCGGGACCCGAGGCATTCCTGGCATACCACCGAGCTTCCCACGCGTGACTGGCGCTGGAGGCATGAGCGTCAGATGGCCAGCCCATTGGCCCGACAAAGGAATACATGCAGGTCACGTTTCCCGCAACCCCGCGATGCCTGGATAACGCCGCGTACGATGGCTGCGTCCCCAGAACACGGAACACCAGCTGGCGACAGCCGCGCTCCGTCACCAGCTGGCGACAGTCGCGGGGTTATCCGCGCGCTCAGCAGCTGGTGACGGAGCGCGGCTGTCACCAGCCGCGCTCCGTCAGCAGCTGGTGACAGCCGCGCCCCGTCACCAGCTGGCGACAGCCGCGCTCCGTCACCAGCTGGTGACAGCCGCGCTCCGTCACCAGCTGGCGACAGCCGCGCCCCGTCACCAGCTGGTGACAGCCGAGCCCCGTCACCAGCTGGCGACAGCCGCGCTCCGTCACCAGCTGGCGACAGCCGCGCTCCGTCACCAGCTGGTGACAGCGGCGCCTCGTCGCCGCCCGGCGCACCAGCGACGACTTACCTGTTGACGATACGGTTGAACTGGTGACTCCAGACAGGCAGGCAGTCTGTGATGCCCGGCGGGATGTGGCTGAGCAGGTGGACCTTCTCGCCGGCGTCCTCGGCCTCCTGCAGCTGGTCAGCCAGCCACTGCAGCTCGCCGCTCGGGTCCACCGAGTCCAGCACCAGCCACCTGAGGGCCACGAAGGTGGAGGGGCACCGAAACGCCGGGATCACACGTGACGATAACTTTCAAATTGGCGTCTTTGAGTTAAATAGGCAGACTCGGTCAGATACATAACGCCACGAAGGCCACCATCTCGGGTCTGGCCTCCTCGAGTTAGTGCCCCTCTGTTCGGCGAGATCTGGACCGGACGCTGCCGACTGACCAGTTCAGGCTGTTGCAGAAGTTGGAGTTGATGCTGATGACGCGCAGCTGGCCAGGGATGGGCCTGGTGGAGTAGTAGGAGCCCCGCTCTATGGTGCCAGGCGACACGTCCGAGCTGAACATAGTCGGCCACACGTCTTTGAATGTGTCCGCGAGCCACGAGATGTTGTTGGTGGCCGATATGGTGGACTCGGGCGGGTATCTGCGGCGATGGACCGGCTCAGGATCAGTCACCGCCGCTCCTTCACGGAACGCGGTGATCTAGCAGAAGGGCACACATTTAGGGCCTTTGACCTGGTGCGGGATTGACCTGCACCGTCACAGGCTTGGCGTCTCCTACAAATGCAAGGCGAGGAACTTCTCTAATTGATCCAGTGTGTGCGTTTATCTAAACGTGCATGGGTGATCTCTATTTGGCATGTGAGTTGAAAAATGCTGTGCACTGTATGCAGTGCAGCCACAGTCACAAGACACTTGCAGTTGGGTGAAATTGGAGCGCTTAGACCTTTCGTCACTCAGTCCATATAGCTCCTACCCTGCCCACTCTCCCATCTTCATTAGACAAGCGTGTAGGCATGAAATTACCGGTAACATGGCTGTGAGTCATGTTAGTGCCTGAGTGCGCTTCCGCATAAGCATTCCCGGCTCTGGCTCACAGCTTATAAAGTGGTGGAATCGGGCTCTGGCTTGCCGTAGCGTAGCACAGACATGAATCAACTCCAATTCCGACTCAACAAGATAAGGCTAAATTCCGGACTAGACTTCGATGGAGTCAGTGCCGATGGCAGCAGGAGCCTGTGTGAGCGACCAAAACTGACATGTTGATGAAGCAGGGCGCGTGGTTGCCAATGGATGAGAAGATGGGCGTGTCGGCAAAGCGTCCCTTCATCAGATGCAGCGACTCCCGAATTGAGCGCTGGTTGCCCTCTCGCGTCTGGTTCCATATGTCGTGGGCTGGCAGGTCCCCAGTCATGTAGATCAGGTCAATATCCTGTGGACAACACCATCACCTCTCCAGCACAGCCCTGAGATCCGGGGTCATGGATACACGTGCGGTCCGCGCGCACGAGAGAGCGCCCGTCCCCTGCCACAATGGACAGGTCACCCCGGCCACCAGAGCGCTGCCACCCACGGCGACGGCTCCGCCTCGACCGCCGGCCGATCGGACTCTCACAGGGTGGTGGTCGACGATCCAGTCGAGTGTCCTCTCCAGCGTCACCATCGGGATGTCGCAGTGGGCGAGCGCGCCGTACGGGCCGGCCGTGCCGTTGGTGCCGGGCCCGAGCGCCGCATGGCAGCACATGGGCAGGTCGCAGTCGGCCAGACTGCCGGCTGCGTACGCCAGGTCCACGTGCGGATCGCTCAGCTGCAGGATCTTCAGCGTGGTCGTGTCGGAGGGCTGCCGGCGGAGGCGATAGCTGAGGTCGCACCTGCCGCCGCTGGCGGCGGGGCCACGCGAAGCGCCGCAGGGCCTGCGGCTCCATAGATCGGCAACACTCCGGGCTCCATCAGCTGTGTGGACCAGGCTGCCTCCACGAGACGATAAATAGGTGGGATACTTGCAGTATGTCGAGCTGGTATTTTGCCACACTTTCATAGCTTTCTCAAGGGACCAGGCGCCAGTTCATTAAGGCTCGGCAGCACCATGTCAGCGACTTATTTGTCTCAAACTGTCCGCACTTACACAATCATCGTTTGCTTAGAAGAAACTTCAGTTTGGTTCAGTTCAGCGATTCCCGGCGCCAATTTTTCACCCTCCGTTCCCACCGGTACCTCTGGCAGCACGGGCTCCACGTGCGGCGGCTTGGGTTTGTCGGACAGCTGGACCTCCCAGGGCGGCCAGATGGCGGCTCCACAGCGCGCCCCGAGCGCAAACGTGCAGATGTCGTCCCCCGTGGTGTTGCGGCGAGCCAGCAGCTCGGCTATGCTGGGCTGCCGGCCATGTCGCACACCTCATTACAACAGGTGACTCTGGTGCAAAGAGGAAGGTCGGGCAGGCAGAAGCGTCAATTTTTGTAACTAACTGAAGGGGAGCTGACGACTCGATAGCCTAACTTCCTCAAATTTGTCCTTCTCAACGGATTCGCTCCTCTAGGTTTGGATGACGACGGTTTGTCTACCTATTTTTGTGTCCTTAATAAAGTAGTCATTTGTGGATGGCAGGATGGTAATCATAGCCAGCAGTTCAAGCCCAAAGAAGTTGATTCGTGGGGTGTCAACCTTTTCAAAACTTGTCATAATATTACAGAAAAAAATTGCGGTGGGGGGGGGGGGTCAAATCAACATGAAGTTATGAAATTGATAGCGCTACCACTCTAAAAAATATTTGACATCCCTGCAGGCAGGATAGGTCCAACCGCAATAAATTCGCCAGCACAGAGGCTTAATTGTAGAGCAGAATACTGCCTTACCTTCTGTCAGGGGCGCGGGCAGGGCGAAGGCTCAGGGGCACGCGCCCCGTTTAGGTTCCAAGGGGCCCGAAGGTTCCCTCGTAACTTATGATTAAGGGCTCAATTTGAGGGCTCGAAGGACCCGAAAGCGCAGGCGGAGGTCGTATTCAGGACCACCGGCACGCAGAGCCGGGCACTTTAACACCAGAGAGAGGGCCATGCCCGCTAATTAGGGGCCATGAGTCAACAAGGGCATGTTGTCAGCCAGGTAACACCAGTAACACACAGTTGGCTCCGGGCTGGCATGGGTTTGAGAACCGGTTTCCCAAGCAGGGACATACATTCCCAACGTCTGCCAGGGCCCCACAATGCCTGACAGGGACCCTGTGCTAACAAAGGGCCAGAGGCTGTGTTCAGTGAGGCCCGAAGAGGGACCAGACCAGCCCACCGCTGTGTGTCAGTCACCTAGCGTGGCCACGGCACATTGCTGTCAGCCACCGTCTCTGGCGAGATCAACGGCTCTGACTGGTATTGTGCGCCGTTGATAACCTTCGTAGCACAGGGGACTGTCATAGACTGTCATCGTGAACAACACAGACTGTTATGGGCGACCGCCACTGATCACGTCAAGCAATGCTGACTGCTTATTGGTCGCCGTTACTGACTGTTACTGGCGACCGCCGCTGATCATGTCAAGCAATGCCGACTGTTTACTGGTCGCCGTCACTGACTGTTATTGGCGACCGCCGCTGATCACATCAAACAATGCCGACTGCGTATTGGTCCCCGTCACTGACCGCCTGAATGCGACGGTCTGCTGTTTGCCACCATCACTGACCATGCCAAACGATGCTGACTGCTATCGGTCGTCGCCACGTACCGTAGCGAGTGAGATGGTGCCTCGGCACACCTCCTCCGGGTAGAGCTTGAACGTGATGCAGATCTGAGCGGCCTGCTCCTCAATCTCGTCCACGGGCACGCCGCTGTAGAACTCATTCAGAATGTTGCCCACGAAGAAGGCGCACGTGTTACACAGGGTGTCCTGGTCGGCTGGTGACCAGCGCGGAATACCGCCCGGGCGAGTCCTGCAGGCGCCGCCAGAGGTCAGCCTGAGGTCAGCACCGCCGCAAACAGGAGCCGGTGGAATTAGGAAGCTTTATGTATGTCCGATTGCTGGTCCAGTGAACAGCTCGAATCGGAAAAGAAAGAGGTCCATACCAGCTCCCCCAATATTCATCAAGATAGCACTATGTACTGGCGACCGTACAAGTATCTTCCCCAAATTGATGGGATGGCTTTCGACACATTCTGACGGAAACACGACGGTCGGCGCGGCCATTGAGTTGAATGTCATTATCAGTGAAAACCCGCACCCCGATGTTGGCCTAAAAGTGTACCCATTGGTGGATGCATTTCTGTTTCGAGCTTTTTCATTTGATCCCAATAGACCACCACCAGAGGTAAAGCAAAACTTCAACTCAAAATATTCATTAAAAAGCCCATTTCAGGGAGATAATTCGTCATTGCTGACGTACAACTGTCAAGTGGTACGTGAATCAGAGGAGCATGCAAATCACATCTGATTGGTCGATCAGACCTTGATCGGACGCGGCCAACCAACATTTTCCCACCAGCAGCACTCACCGATCCTTTTGGACAAACCGGTATTCGAATGAATAATATAATCAGCGCGAACATCAGCCAAATGTCGTCAATAAGGAAGCACTTATTACCACTCCTTGTTTTGCTCCATGGGTTTCCGTCTTGCCTTCTTTCACCTGCTGTTACAACTGGCCTGTTGATCGCCAGATCAAAGGACATCGGCTTCTCTGGCCCCACGTGCTCATGCGCAGGTTGAGGTCAAATCACCCTCAAAGCACGAAATGCCTCAAAATATTACCGCTGAAGCAGACTACAACATGCTGGCTCTTCCGCGTGGATGTGCTATCTATGTCATATATATATATATATATATATATATATATGTATATATATATATATATATATATATATATATATATATATAACTCTATCCGAAGCAGGTGTGCCGAGGCACCAGCTCATTCGCCACGGTAAGAAAGTCAATGCAAGTCAACATTGTTTGCCATGGTCACCGTCATCCCAAATATATATATACATATATATATATATATATATATATATATAACTCCTTAAGCCCTCGTTCTACAAAGGGTGCCCTCAGAGGTACCAATATTTTTTTCCTAAATGCCTCCCGCACGATTTGGAGCACGCTGGTGAGATCTTGGGTAGCGCGGTGCATGTAACTTCTAAGCATGTAGTTGAAATTCGATGTTGACGTACTTGAGGGCTCATCATCTGTAACGTATTTCTCCAGGTCATGTCGGTGACATCTTGCTTAAAAGTGATAAATTATGTCAATTTTTCGCAGGAATTGTACTTTCAAGTTTTCTGGCCCGATTTCTTGTACGTATCACATTGAGTGAATGCATTTTGTTCTGGCTGCTTTTGCAAGTTAAGACCACCCAAGGTCAAGCTAAGTCAAACCTTGACATTTGTGATCAGATAAGGCCCGTTGAATGAGATCTTTCAAACACCGATGACGCATATCTTATAACTTTAAAATGTTCTACTTATGCCGCTTTGCTCACTGATGGGGCTTCTTGTCGTCCTCGCCAACGCCATTGGCGTGTCACAACAATGACCTTCATTCTTCTGACCCAGCATGGCATGGTCTGGGGGACATGTGTCGGTGTCACTAACTGTCTGTCTGACATAATTTTCCAAAAACTGTTCAAGGTCGCCTGCCTGGTCGTCGCCCCACGCGTAGTTTTCGAGGTGTCAGGAAGAGTCTGTGCACCACTTATTTGACCTGTATGATCTAATTTCACCTGCTAAGGTGAAATTACCACTGCCTAACAACGCCTTTCCTTTGTAGTTCAATGAGAGGCTTTCGTTACCCTTTTACTCTGCATTCCTAGATTGCCTAGTTCTTGAGATCTTAAGGCTGCCTGTGAGGCTCTTCTCCGTAGGCCGAGGGTGAAGGGAAACCTCCGCAGCCTGAGGGTTTCAATGTAATGATCTTATCTACGTTTATAAAAAGATGATTTTAAGAATAAAATGGTCAAAGATAAGTGCTTAACTCACCAAACATCCTTTTACGGACCTACAGAAACCTCATGGATGCAGCCCAACGGCATGCTAGCGCTTGTGAGTTGTGCAGGCTTGCCCGCCCGCCGTACCTACCTGAGCACATGATGAATGTGCCGGACGTCGAGGGCGTCCAGCGCTCGCTGCAGGTACGGGTGCGGCTCGCCCGTCTCATATGATGTGCGCGCAGCCTGCACCAGGCGGCGGTAGTCCATCTGTGGGGAGGCCGCCGCTGCTGCCGCCGCTGCCGGCCGACGCTGGCACTGTCAGCGACAGAGTGCGAGGACGGGCGGGACCTGCGCCGCTGTGGCCAGCGGCCGGCTCTGGGCTGCTGACGTACTGATCCACCAACATGTATATATATATATATATATATATATATATATATATATATATATATATATATATATATATAGTGGGGGCTCGGAACACGCGCATGAACTTGGACACCAGGGCAAAGACGAGCGCTTCGAACCAGACTCTTCGAACCATCGCAGTGCGGAATCTTATACAAGTTTATCTTTTGGCAAAAATCACTGCGCCATCCTGGCGCGGTTGGGAAAGGCAACAGCAGTGATGGCTAGACAGATGGTCATAAAAATGTTGTTTTACCAGACTGCGCGTAAAAACGCGTGGTATAGCTGGTCCTACGTCCCACGGATGGCAGCTGACTCAGTGCATCTGACCTCGGCAAATCACTTTTCTGAGAGCCGCCGCGTCACTATCGTACTACATGAGAATACATCAGCCTTCAAAATCCAGCCACGTGAGTGGGCGGAAAATAGCAATTGAGGAACGCATAGACTGCACCATTCCGTATCAGGAGGGGCATCAAGGGGCACAAAGCTGCAAGTTAACAGTGAGCAACTAACTGATCAGCGGCTTTGGAGGTCAATGACGCTTACATGCAACGGTGTGAAAAGGACAGTGCTGTCAAGATATATTGTATCTCGCGGCCAGGTAGGGAAGAGAAGTCACACAGCGCCCGCAAAGCTGCAGATTTCTCTGGATGCCATTGCATCCAAGACGGGAGCAGACGGCCGAGACGACAAGCGGAGCCAGACGAGAGCAGACGGCCGAGACGACAAGCGGAGCCAGACGGGAGCAGACGGCCGAGACGACAAGCGGAGCCAGACGGGAGCAGACGGCCGAGACGACAAGCGGAGCCAGACGGGAGCAGACGGCCGAGACGACAAGCGGAGCCAGACGGGAGCAGACGGCCGAGACGACAAGCGGAACCAGACGGGAGCAGACGGCCGAGACGACAAGCGGGGCCAGACGAGAGCAGACGGGTAAAACAGCAAGCAGAGCCAGACGTTCAACACGCCGCAGGGCTGGAGAGCCAGGCGTGATTATTGGAGAGCTTAAACTCATACACAGCTTACAGAGAAGCCCGATGCAACAAGCAAAGCAATACTCCGGCTTGCATCCTGTGGTATCAAGTGTGCCGCGCAAGTCATAACGCTGTTTTCTGCGTGCATTATTCGCTTAACATTTTGTTCAGAGCTTGTGCTTTTACTGCGTTCATAATGCGATTACTGTGATACTCCATCATCAAACATTTATCCCGAATGGATTGAAAGTTAAGGAGGCAACAGGCAACACATTTACAATTAGAATGCTATTGGCCGGAGCTCGCCGACCACCTCATAAACTTTGTGTGTGGTGATCTTTGGGAGTTCTTGAACTATCCCGCTCCGGTTAGTCTGGCTGGGCGAGCGGCCACGGCCGGCCCCCTTGACGGTGGGCAGCCTAGGTTTACGTGCCGAGAGGCGCAGACCTCTCCGCTCGCGCCGTGTCCGCGGCCGGGCTGCACAGAGTGTGACTGCCCCCGCTCGCGCCGTGTCCGTGGCCGGGCTGCACAGAGTATGACTGCCTCCGCTCGCGCCGAGTCCGCTGCCGCGCTGCACAGAGTGTGACTGCCCCCGCTCGCGCCGAGTCCGCGGCCGGGCTGCACAGAGTGTGACTGCTGGCGCATCAGGTGGATCATGGGAAAGTCTTGCATTCAGACGACAGCGACTGCGAGTAATGGCCACCGCCAGTCTGACCGGGTCCAGGTGGGTCATCGCCGGTCTGATCGGTCCGGGTGGGCCATCGCCAATCTGATCGGTCCGGGTGGCGAGTTGTCAGTCTAACCGATCCAGGTGGGTCATCGCCAGTCTGACCGGTCTACGTGGATTACCGCCAGTCTAGCTGGTCCAGGCAGGTCATCACCAGTCTGACCGGTCCATGCGGGTCATCATCAGTCTGACCGGTTCAGGCGGATCATCGCCAGTCTGACCGGTCCAGGCGGATCATCGCCAGTCTGATCGGTCCGCCAGTCTGATCGGTCCTGGCGAGCCATCGCCAGTCTGGCCGGTCCATGCGGGTCATCATCAGTATGTCTGGTCCGGGCGGATCATCGCCAGTCTGACCGGTCCAAGTGACGTGTCGTCCGGTGTGGAAAACAGAGGTACTGTCCCGGTTCCCTGCGATACTGGCGTCAAAGAGGTGTGTTTAGTGGATACGTCAGCAATTGGTGACGAGCGCTCATGGACGCTAGTTCTTCCTACTTCGGCTTCACCCCGCTGTCTTTATGGGTAAATCACTAACGTGCCCCATAATACACCCAGGGCACATCCAGGATGGAAATGATTAGATAACGCATTGCAAAATCCAGTTCGGAACCTGTACTTTTGTTGTGCATATACGTTGACAACCCGTGCCTGGACTATGGACTGGATCCGTTTTTATTGCAAGTTGCTCTGCATTTTTGAAACCCAATCCTGTTTATTCCTTTTTGCTTCCTTCGCACATTTATGGGTAGCGATTGTTTCGAACGGAGCGACCAAGCATTTATTTCCGTCAGTTTGATCTGTTCCCTGCAGCCTATCTGATTAACAGCTTAGTCGAGTGACCCGAAGTTTTTTATGCACGTGTGTAGTTAATTCGTGTCAATGCCTTTGTTTTTGAAAACTCAGCATGCTGTGAACTTTAACTTTCGTGGAAGGGCGTTCCACCGACCAACTCATGGTTAGACTTTTTATAGCTACTCAATACCAAAGAATGTCTCCAAAGCCGCAGTAAACATTTGGTTTGAAAAGTCGATACGCATGATGCACAGACATTTATAGTTTTGCTAAGCAAAGGCGTCCCATGGCATGTGATGCTATGGTCTATGAAGCCAGCAGGTCACTTACAGCAGCATTTCTTTTTAGCCGCCTTTACGGGACAGCAAACGTGTTGACAGCAGTCATGAGTCGGACCAAGCATCATCCTCTATTTCATGTCATGTGGGTGTCGCAGCTATGTCACTTTTTCTTTGACCATGCTTCGTTACTGCTAAAATGGATTGCCCTGAAGAGATTGGTTGAGAGCTGTAGTCCATGTTTACGGAAAGGACTGCGTCCACTTTAGCCTTGTTTAGGAAAATGGCTGCTCCTTAGAGTGCGATCCCTTAACAAATAGTTCTACCAGTGCCTTGTCACACCTCAGACCATCCAAGTTGACTGAGCAAAACATTGGGTCTGTTTGAGACTAAAAAATGGGGCACTGCTTACTTGCAGTCGCTTGTAGTCAGACAGCACCGTACGTTACGGTCAAGCCAAGTTGTGCAAGTCACGAGTTTGGTCACGTTGAAATGCTCCAGCTGCACAGCATTCGCAGGTAGTAAATATTCCTAAAGCTAGTGAAAGATGACGCACAGAGCAGAACGCCAAAGCAACAAAATGGCATAATGACGCTCTCACGACAAACGGACCCATTTCTTTTGTTGACCGAAGGTCAGGTTGCCTTCGCCCAGCGGCCTATATGAGACGTCACATAGGAGGTTGCATCCAAACTCTTAGAATGCTGCACCACCAAGAACTATAAAGATTCATTGGCTATCATTTCTAAAGCGGGCTTAAAACGGCTCGGTAGGTTAGATCGCGTGAGGTCAGGTCAGTTCAGGTCATTGTGAGGTACGATATGTCATCTGCGCTCAAAGCCGTAAGGGATGTCCGCAAAAGACACATTAATAACTTCGCGAAGTGCAACAGCCTACTGCACTAAGAAACACAAGATTGTCAGCGCCAGGTGCGAACTGGCTTTTCTGGAACTGGTTCATTGACATAGGGCCAAATGGGCCTTTGGAGCAAGTGTGGTCACATCGGAGTCACATCTTTAAGTTTTAAACACAAGAAATAGCGCAGGCAAATAACTGATCACTAGTTATTGACCTCCACTTAATTATAAATAAAACATTGCAATGCTAGTATTCTGACCGATCAAAGCACTAGAGCCGGTAAGTTTGGTGTTGGAAATTCTCCGACTAAGAAAATGACACCCTTTTTAAAATCTGTATGGCTTGGCCCACTTTTACCGTCCTAGTTCAGTCAACTGGAGCGACCCCTGTCATTGGGGTTAGCAAGCAAGATATCAGTTAGCTCGTAGAAGAAAGAATAAAATGCACTGAAAGCTTGCATCCACGTCTATTCTTTCTATGTAAAGCTGGGAAAACCCGCGAGTTCTCTCAAGGCTACGACATGGCGGGGAGAACCTAAACATGCAAGGTTGTATGTTAAGGAAATGTGGCGAAGTGGCGGGAACAGGCATCAACCTCCATCCACCATACGGGCCATCAGCACGCCTTGCAATAGTATCTACCACTTATATATGCAGCAATATGGCCATTTCGGCCGAGCATCTCAATTGCTCCACTTGCACTACTCGGGCAGCCTTCAGTGACGCGATGGAGATTTCACACTTCCACGACGGTAGCTCTAGGAATCGCCCACCTATAGTTATGGCGATCAGAGGCGCCAGCACGCCTCCTGTTTCCACCATGCTGACGATCCGGCTGTCCCGCTGTGCACCCATCGGTGGCGCGACCCGCACTGCCGGGAGAGGCGCGCTAGCTGATATATCATTCGGATTGAGCAGGTGTGCGCTCTCAGCGCCCCTGAGACGCGTGTGCTGTAACATCTGGGTTTTTAGGCGAAGGGCAGTCCTCACCACCACCACCAAGGCCATGTACCACACAATGGTGGAGGTGGGGACACAGGAGGCATATGCCCTCCCCCTCAGGTTCCAGGGGGTCGAAAGGTCTCTCGGAAGCTAAATGTCAGGTCGAGGGTCCAACTTTGAGTCCCCAAGAACCCGAAAGGCTGGCTGGAGGATGTACTAAGGGGCCCAGTCCGCAGGGCTGGCGCCTCAAATATCCTTCAGGGCCTCTTGTAACGATTGGAGACTATTTGGGACAATGTGGTCCTTTATTTCGACCAGAGACCAACAACACAGGACAGTGAGCTCCGTATTGGTCTGGTTCCTGTATCGGCAATGTTCTCTGATTCGGCCAGGGAAACATTTGCTCAACAGGGACAAGAACAAGCCCTCGAATACCAGGGGCCTCTAACGTTGGTCGGGTCCCTGTGACGATGTAATGAAATACGCGAGCATCGATGAGAGTCCACAATGAGACAGTGGAAGGACCATGTGCCAGTCAGGGGCCCCATTAATGCAGTGTCCTAGATTTGCCGACTTTGGGTGTAAAGCAACACTCTATGAGGAGGAATTTTTCACTCCTTTTCCCCATATTTCATGCGATTTGTTTCACCCCGCCTGACATTGACTAATCGCAGATGCCAAACCCCTATTACCCTTTCTGAGGTTTTCAGATGTCATCCAAAACCGAGCTCACTTGAAACCACCAAGCATAAACGAGGCTCTAAAAGAACCTGGACACCTATGGCTATGTCCTGCCTCATCTACATCTGAATCATGTCTATGTATACACATGGCAAGGGCGCCAGCTACCTCCAAGCCCAAGAACCCCAGCGACTCCAGCCGCTTGCACGCATTAAGTTTGATTTGTTTACAAAACGCACAACAATCGGCAGCCGTGTGCCAAATGCAAGGTTTTCAAGCATCCCCCAGTTTTCGTCTCACCACCACACCACGAAAGCAGAGGTGCAAACACCTTGCACCTTGCACCTTGCTGGTGCAAACACCAGCAAGGCCTGGTAGAGGATTGGACACAGCGTATTTTTTTCCCGAGGAAACTTGACCACTAAATAGCATCACTCCCGAAATGCAGGAGTGAAGGATTCAAGAAACGCCTTCGAAATTAAAGTTACAATATAACTATCACCATTTGAGCAATTCTTTTAACAGATTTTAAGTCAAATAATCTGATTACAAAGTTTTGCCAGAAAAGTATCAGTCTCTATATTTATTTAACTACTTTTAGTTCTCTTGGTGTCATACGAGTGTGATACCACTTCATTCTGTTTTCTTTTGGATTGCCTTTAGAGGTACCATCTGTTGCTTAAAATGTTGACCAATTTCCCTGCAAGATTCTCCAACTGCAAACTTGTACGTATTTCATACATAAATTGGATTAATTCGCCAGCCGCCCAAACACGTTTGATATGCACCCAACAGTGAACAATTCACAGGGAATGAAGGAGAAAATTTGAAGCACGGAAGTTATATTTACCGCCAGTTTTGCCCTGTTAAACCCTTGTTTAACCGCTTTCTTGGTTCATGGCGATGCTCAATAATGATAAATCTAAGCCTTTTGAGTGTCTAACTCACCAGGCTACCTGTCAAGGGCATCCTAATGCTGCCATGCAGAGCTTTGTGACAGAACTGACGCCGCTAATACAGAAGTGTTTGATGGCGAAATTCTGCCCTCTGGAGATGTTTACTATGCACACCTCTTACTTGTTTCGCATTTTAATCTGGTAGGTTGGTGGGCATGGTTGATATTTATATTTGGGGGATGAGTGGGATGACTCTGTCTGCCAGCAGACCATGCAAAAGGTATTGACTTTTAGTCTTGGGGGGGGGGGAGGGGGCAGGAAGAAGTCAGTAAGCCTCCTGTGAACCAAGTAATTGCTTACCTTACCTGCTTTCAGCACATGATTGGTAACTAGAGTTCGCCATTTTTTGTTTCAGCCAATCGAGTTTTGTCATAAGACAAGTTGTGATGCCGCACGACATGCAATGAGCCTATTCTTTTCCATATTCTCGATTATTTGCCCAAAATTTCGTGAGGTGGTCCCTCATGGCTGCTTTAATCAGATGTTTTCTATAGTTGCCATGGTTTGCTGGCTGGTAAATGACTGTACTGTATATATGCACTATATTTTTGACACAGGGATACTCTAAGCTGCATAGCAATTATAGCATGAGTTAAATATTGGTATGTAACAAATAGTGAGACCATCCCATTTAAAATGTAAAGCCAACATGTCAAACTTTGTCATTGAATATGAATAAACAAGCCCAAATGGATGCCTTTGCTGCGGCTGAAAAGGCAAGCAGCAATACTGGCATGGTCATCTAAAGGTTATGTTGCTTTTGGAGAAGAGAGATTGTTTTGTGGAGCATACTCATTATTGCCCTTGACATAGGTTAACCATGACAATCAAAATAAGTTCTTGAAAGTGATTTCAAGTATTTGAATTTGTGTGTTGTCAAGTTTGTCTGATGTCAACAAGCATGCAAAAATAAACTGAATAAAAATTCATGTTGAAACCAGCCAAAAACTAGCTTTAAATATTATATTTTATCACAAGTGCTGCTGTCAACATATAGGTGAGTTGAGATGATGTTCATCATACGGACTACTCTAAGTTAGGTTAAGTTGGTCAAGTGCACGGCAAATGGCAATAGGAATTGTGCAATAATCAGTATCTCACAACTGCTGCTGTGATACAAACAGGTCAGACAGGATGAGGTGAAGTAAGGCCTCTTTACGTTAGGCATAGGTAGGCTTCTTTCATGGAATAAGCATTGGCATTTTGTAAGAAACAGTGACAAAATATTTGTTTTCCCTGACCCCATCTTAACAAAAGCCAGAGGTATGTCTATTGTGTTTCACTTGGTGATGGGCTGATGTGTTGGAGTCCAACGTTTTTTTTTCTTTGAGTGTTTTATGCTTGTTGACTTTTCTGTTATTTTTCATTGAATTCCTTTGTTTTGTTTTGTGTTTAAGTGCTGTGGAAGGAAAGCGCAAAGTACAGCATCAAATTATTGGTGTTAATAATTGTTTATGTTTATTACACTGTCATGAATTTACTATGCTTTAATGTGTTCTGTTTCACTTTAACGGCTTAAGATGTTAAAAACCAAAAATTGTTGCCAGGTTTATGATGTTACGTCCATGCCAACTTGAAATAGATGTCTTTGTTTGCTGAAGCATCAGTCACGAGCTCATAGGTTCCAGCCTTTGTGAATTCATTTTTTCACTCCTGCACGGTCTTTTTGCGATGGAATTTTTCACCCCCATGCTAGTTCAAAAGCAATTCTATCTCCCTGCATTAATGAGCAAGGGCCTCCCATCCCGTTTAAGGTAGAGGACCGTTAAGCCAAATTGTAGCCTCTGTGTCAAGTATTGGATCTCCTGCCGCGATAAGGGATGTTTGTGCGTCAGTGAGGACCCTTCGTCGATCCAGGGCCAGTTTCCTGATTAAGAGGGCCTCCTGCGTCAGGGGAGGGGCCATGGCATGGTTTATCCCTCTCAGGGCCTCCGGGTCGACAGGGGAACCACACCCCCTGCCTCCAGAATGGCAGCCAGTAGGCAGGCCACGCTGGAACGGCGTGGCCATTCAACCCTAGGCCGGGAAAAATTTGGGTAGCCTATTGTTCAACACACAGGGTCCGTTCCCTATTGTCCTAGACGCGGGCTGGAAAAGGCAAGTCTTCTTAGTAATCGACAGGGCGGTGGATGGTGCAAATGGATGGTGGATGGTGGATTTGGTGGATCAAAACAAGGTTTAACATGAAAAGATGCCAACCGACAGTGGTGGGTCAGATGCTAGCCCACTGGTGACATGTCGGGGTATTCCCGATCAGGTAGCGCCCCAGTCCAAGGGCCCGCCACATCGGTCTTGGGTTCTTCTCGCCTACTCTGAGGACCATACGCTGTTGACGGGAACCATTTTGTAGGACTGCGGTGGCACCCCCGCTACGTCATTGACAGATGTAAATGTCGATCCGTTGGGGCACCGTTGATCGCTCTGGGCTCCTCCACATAGATCGTGGGCTTTTCCAAGGAATGATGAAGTCAGAAGGACCTAACTATGCTATCGAAAACCTCACATGTGCTGCGAATGCCAGTGCATTTCACCTGCTCGTTTGTACGGGACTGACTATATGACTCCATGTGCACAAGCTCAAAATCCACATGATGACCATTTTCTTTGGTTGTCTTAGCCTTAGGGTATCAGTTTGATACACGGTGACGAATTTTTACGCCCAATTGCTGAAGATCATATTCTGCACCGCCGACGTCTTATGTACCATTTTCGTGCGTTACTGCCTTCACGGAACTCGTTTTACTAGTGCATCGCGTTCTTAACACATTTTGAACGTCGGTATATTTGTATAAGTACATAATAGTCGAAGCAAAAGCTATGCATTCATCATCAGCCATTAGCTGATCACAGCGACCTGCCGACTGGCCGTAAATAACCTTGCAACAAAGCGTCGAGCTTAATTTTGATTGCAATTACAAGCCAATTCGAGCTTATTTCACCATAAATTCTCTGAAACACTTAGCTTTAAAATGACAGAATCCACCTCAATCTGGAGGAAATGAGCGTGCTCCATGTATGTACATACGTAACAAGCCTAGCCTTCCAGGGCTGTGAACAGAAAGATGGGCTGACGTTTAACCAATAAGATGCATAAGAATCACAAAATTTGTTGGACGGAGTACTAAAATATTTGGGAGGAGGGACTCTGAACCCCAGAGCGGCCCTCCGATTTACGTAGCCCCACCTTTACGACATTCCTGATGTGCCACGGCTGCTCCATGTTTGTCCGAATATGTCTATTCTATTTCAGAACAAAATAGTGAAGCCTAGCACAT